TTGCAACTTTTTAGGTTGTAACTAGTTGCAAATTTTTCAAATCAGTTGTAATACTATCTTTAATTATTAATATTAAAAATATTAAAAATATTAAATAATTAATTTTAAAAATAATATAATTATAATTAATATTATTTGATTGATAAAATTTTAAAAAAAAATATTTATTAATAAAAATGATAAAGTTACATAAAGTAAAAAAATTGGTTTTCTTATTCCGGCTGAGACATGTGTTGTGAAATACCATATCGCAGGTGTAAAAGATTGTTTTTAAGAATTGTTGCAAAATTATCTTTTCCCCTTTAAAAAGTTATTTACGCTGAATAAAGACGTGGCCTTTTACACTCAATGCTTTTACAATGACACCAACGTTATTTACACGTACAACAGAAGAATAAAATAGCATAGTATGCTTTACCTTTGTAGTTTTCATTTTGTCTTTTTTTGTTTTCATTTTAGCATCTTTAAGGAAAAGTCTATGCTCTTTTGTTATCTGCTTATCATACAACTCTTCAAATGACTTGTAATACAAGTCTTCTCCAGATACCAGATTTGAAAGTTAATGCAATTGTTCAAAATCTTCTGGTAAACAATGAGAAGAATAACAAATAATACAAGCTGGATCACTGTATTTTTTAATTAAAAAGAATAATGTCATGTAATACAATAGTGTTTCAAGAATTCTTGCAGATATAGCTTTAAAGAAAGATATGTTAATTGAATATTTTTTTTGCATAAGTAATTTAATTAACATTTTACTTACCTCTGTTTTAAATATTTTGCAGTACAGCCTTAATGAGTAATACTACTATCTATAAGTTGGATTATTTTCCAGAATCTTTTCATTTCTGTGTTTGATGCTGCGGTAAAAGTTTTAAAAGACTCATCTTTGAGAGACTGACGATTGAATACATCACTAATAAAGATGAGAGATGAAACCCAAAAAAAGCAATTAATAAACAGCCAAAATTATATTAAAACATAGTGAGGGATACAATAGAACCCTGAAACCTAAAATTAACTAAAATATTATTAAAAACATAGTAAGGGGAATGTCAAAATTATTTTGAAGGAGTTTTGGTAAGCATATTTAATTACTAACTAGATGAATTGAGATTTGAAGGCTTTCTGCTAAATTATTTTTTAAGGTAGGTTTTTTTCTGCAATCTTGCGAATTTCATTCATTATATTATATTTGCTTAATAATTTTTCTGATTCATCATTCACCTTCATTCACATTAAGCCAATGCTTTGCAATCTTAAGTTTAAAATTGACATAATACGTTCAACAGGATTTTTCCACAAATGTTGTGATGGAGTTCGAATAGCAACAAATAGGTAATACCTAAGAAGAGAAAAAGGTAAATATAGGAAAGCTGAACATAGACATATGTGCAGCGATGATTGGGTCCACCATCAGTATAGAGACATAATACAGGTTTATCAGTAAGCTCTTTCTTAAGAAGTATATGATATAATTCTGTTACATGGCAAAGAGGTGAGAAGGGTTGAAAGATTGGATCCTTTAACCTGATTTGTACTTTTCCTGCATAAAAATTACCATTTATCAATTCAGGTATATTGCATATTATCGCTACACCTGATATGATTTCTGTTTTAGTATAGTCGTGATCAGTAACTTCAAATGTAATATCTTTACTAATTACAACTTTCTTTTCCTTTTCTACTGCAGCAACAGGGAATCCAGATTCTCTAATCTTGTAATAATGTTTATCATTCAAAAAGACAAAATTTGAGAGTTCATGAAATTTAATGGTAAACTCTTTTTCATAATGAAGCAATGCTAATGCATAATGAGTATCTATATGATAAGCTCATAGTTGACGTATTTGGACTATGAACTTTAATGATAAGTAACTGGTGAATTGCAAATTACGTAGTCTTGTAGGATTCTTGGATCAAAATTGCAATTGTAACTACTTTGAATTGGGGATTGATGTTTCAGGTAAACATTCAAACTTAATTTGATACAAAAGATCATTTACTGAAATTGCTATTGCAAGATGTATGACTGTATCATGTCTCCGTTTATCTACAGCTATTACAACATCTGCAGCTTTTTCTGCAAGAAATTGGGCTGCAATTTTTAAAAAAAAATTATATTTTTTGGATCTTCTACTATTGTATTCATGCAAATCAGTTGTAATTTCTGGATCTCCAAGTTCCAAAGCAATTCTAACATGCTTATCTACTTTTTCTTCATTAAAAGTTTCAGCTGCAGAAGTATCGCCTATCAACATTCAGTAGATTGTTCAAAGTGCTAATGGTTTAGCTTTCAGAAGAAACAGGTCATAAGTATGTATATAATTGATCTGCATTGCTCATGTATGAAAACAAGATACATCAGTTTGCAATTCACTTACAATTCATGTATTTTCTTATAACATTATTGATTCATTAGTCTGTTCATCAATTTTTCATATTGAAATTGTGTTAAAAGTACTGTTTTCAGAATTAAATCAATATTCTTCAACTTTGAAAAAAAATGTATAGGATAAACCTTGAATATAATGAATTCTTTGCCTGCAACACAAATTAACTTATTAGTTCTATATACTAATAATATAAAGAATATTTCTTCTATTTATATAGAATTGATTGAAAGGTATTCTTCAATATGAACTGGTTTTCATGGTAGTAAATCAGTAAGTAAACATTTGAGATTACTATATTTGAATTTGTCATTAGATGTAACCCATCATTTTTCTTATAGATTTTAATTGTTGTAACTTTTCAATGATTCGAATAGGAGTTTCTGATACGTGATTCATGCCAGTAATTTCACGTTGATGTTGCAAGAATCTAACGTAATTTGAAATAGCAATAATAAAACTATTAAATGTATTACGAAGTCAGTCAAAATTTGGCATTAACATCCATGATGATATAGCATATGGAGCAAGAGCTTGCCAATGTAAATTGAGTTTATCTGCATTAAAGGGCTTTTGTAATTGCTTGTATGATTCTGAATTCACGCATTAAAAAAACTCAAGGAAAAGTTCTAGTATGTGATAACTATGTTCTTCAAATTTCTGGTGATCACGCATGTTGATATACCAAATCATTTTAGTCAAACTAGTAATAAATTGTTTGCCTTGCATGTTAGCATACGATTGGGTAGACCAACCTCCACCATAACGATGAATCCAATCAATAAGATCATTATATAATATTAGTTTACAGTTTATCTTATCTGATCATAAGAAAGTTGGCAAATACAATTGAGTTCAATATGCATTTCACATCAAGATTGTAAAGCCATTTTGCAAATCAGAAATTGTATTGTTATCAGTTTTAAGTTGATAATGTATACGTATTTCTAAGTATTTTATAAGTTCTATAATATTACAATCCAGGCTGACTTGACTTGCAGCTGAAACTGGTGTTTTATTCAGCTCAACACATTCTATTATTTCAGAACTTGCTACATTAATATTGCATTCAGGAAATACTTCTTTAGTTATAAGTTTTTCAAAAAAGTCATATATTGTCATTTCATAAGGAATAGGATGAATATACTACCCATAAAGAATTTTTGATCCTTTAGATATACAAATATTTGCAAAGGGCATTTTTGCTGAATTTGAAGAGGTTTGTTAATGAGGTTGAAAAAAAGCTGTTCTGTTCTAACACTTTTACTCTCTCCTTTTTATTAGTTTATTACACGTTTTAATTTCAGTTAGGGGCGCAATTAAAAAAGGAAAGTTCACTTAGGGATGCAGTTGGAAAAGGAAAGTTCACTTAGAGATGTAATCAGAAAAAGGAAAGCTTACTCAGGAATGCAATCAAAAAAAAAAGCTAATAGTTGTATTGAATCTTATTTGTCAACAATGCATAATGTCATAATTTTGCCAATTAACAAAATTAATCAATTAAAGAATGTACAAAATATGCTTATGTTGCCAATTTAATTAACCGACTTTCTTCTTTTTTACACTTGTGATGGTAAAATTTATTGAACAGAGAAATAATTAAAGGTTTACTTTTACTTTTCATGAATAATCAATGTTAAATGTGATTTTTGAATAGTTTATTATATTGATACACAGTATAAAAATTTTTGATATGAAAAATTTTGATCGGTCAGCCGGGTTGTGAAATAATAAAATCATCAAATAAAATTTTTTCAATTAAAAATTTTCAAAGCAAAAATATATATATATGTATTATTATTAAAAATTAAAATAAAATATTAAAATTAATCTTATTAATATTTACTTTCAATTATTTATTATTTATTTATATTAATAATATTAGCAATCAAAATATTATTATTATTATTAGTTTATTAATAATAATTTTTAAAATAATTTAATTAATTATTAATTAACAAATATTTTGATATTTAAGATTATTTTTATTTATTAATAAAAACAAATTATTAAAAATTTAATATAACGGCAAGTTTACATTTTTTGTTTGAAAAATTCTAATACTAATTTTTAAAAAAGGTATTATCGTTATGTATAATTATAAAAAAAAAAATTTAAAAAAAAAATGAAAAAATCAATTTCATATAATTTGAAATCATTGACCAACATTACTTACTAATGATCCTGCCAGTAGTCATATGCTTATCTCAATCAAAGATTAAGCCATGAATGTCTAAGAAGCCAATTTTCTCAAGAAAATTTTATTAATATCACAAAACGACTTGCAAAAAAAAATTTTTTTTTTATCTTCAAAATTAGAATTTAACAATCGTGTTTTGAATGCACTCACTCTAACGGTTCATTTTATATTCAAAAATCATTTCATCATTCATGATCAATATCGAATTTTTATACATTAAGAAAATTTTTAAAGCAAATATTTTTTAAAAAAAAAAAAATTAAAAATTTATATAGAAAGAACAGCAAAAAGTCAAAGACGACTTATAATATTTATTTTCATCTCAAACAATAAAGAAAAAATTTATATCCAAACTTTTAGAACAGTCTAATCCAAATTCAGTAAATAAAAAAAAAGTCATGGATGACTTAAACAATAACAACAAAGATTTGAACGATATCCCAACTTTTAGAACTATATAATCCAAATTCGTTTTCACTTCTACAACTAACTTCAATTTTGTTCACGGTGCACTTTTTAGCACCAGATTTACTAATAATAAAATCTTGAATTTGATCGAGCGTATCCATTTTTTGAAGCAAGAATTTCAGATCAGGCAAATCATTTCCCAAGTCATCGTTTCTCTCTAACGTGGATGAGTCGATTGGTAAATGAATCCATTCATGTGGATTATTGATATTTTCCAATTCTGTTGTAATATTTTTTGATGTGACATTATGTGGTGTCAAATAAAAGGTCACTTGGTGATGGCCACGTTTTGCATGACGTTTTAGGTAAGGCAAGATCACGTCTGAAACCAACGTATCAATTCTTTGTATCCATCCCAATAAATAGGAGAATATGTCAGAATTTACAACAAAAAATTCAAAGAGGGGATAAAATAAAATAAGTTATACCTTCTGAGAGTAGAGATCATAACGTCATCTTTCAACGCAGTTCCATCATTCTCACTTCTTTTTTTATCCGGATTCAAATTGTAAGAAGCAGAAAATCCACTCAAAGCCTGTTCATAAGAAGGCAAAACATTATTATCTCCCTTAGCTTCAAGCACGCCGTCTTTTTCATCGCGTTTAGCATCACCAAATACTTTAGCGACACTTTGATCTGGTACAATCAAATTAATATCATCGTCGAGACCAAATTCTCGTAATTGTAATTCAACTACTTCTCTTGCAACATTTTTTGGTAAACATAATCTATTATAACGAATATAATCTAATACTACACTAAATGCTAATGGATTATGATCAAGAAAGATAGATTGTGCAGGTTTATTTGAATTAAAACGAGAAGCAAACGATGATGATGACGGATTTACTAGTTTAAACAAAGTACTCTTTGGGTGAGCATTGAACAGATCTTTAGTGATTTCAAACGTTGTACCTCCAACATTAAAAATTACCGTTTTTTGAGACATGGCTGGATTTTTTTTTTTTTTAGAAAAAAAAGTTTTTTTGATTAATCAAAGAGCAAATCACAATTTATTACAGTTTATTTATCTTATATATCCATCGTATGTCATCATTAGGAAAGAAATTTCTCATTTGAGTATGATTTTCAATTGATGATTATAACCTGATAAATACAAGTTGATAAGCAAATCTTATTTTCAAAATCGAGATTTTTTAAATGCATGTTTATTTTTTTTTAGACATTGCAAAAATTAAATATCTCGATTTTTTTTTTTTCAAAAATTTTGTTCCACATTATTATCTACTATAATTTTTATTATTCAACTTTAATTACATATGAAATAAATTTGCTACCCAAAAAATGAATTCTCCCTTATTTTACGTTACTTCAATATAACCGTGTCCCTACCAGAAACATCTAGTTTATTGTTGTTATGACCAAATGAATATAAGTCGGCTATATAGGCTGATATATATATATATATATACTTCCATTTTTTTTTTTTTTTTACTTCGTTTTCGCATAAAAAAAAATTATATAAAATGTTAATCAGATACAGCAATATATTTTATGCTAATTTGTGTGTAAATCCACCGTTATCATCGAATAACAATTCGATATTACATAGGATAAATAACATTTGATAAAAGAAAATCTTTTATACTTTTTTTCAAAACTTTTAAATTTCCATTCCATCATTTTTTCTAACCCGTTTGTGGAGAAATGAAAGCAGGACGAGAATTTTCAAAAAATTCCCTTAAACTTTTCCCAGTACTTCCAGTGATTATTTCCAAATCTCTTGTAACTTGTACCTTTCTAGCAGCCCCCAAACATCCTTGTAAACCCCATAATTCCAATAAATAAGCGACTTCCTCCTTATCCGGTGTCACTTCCATTAATACTTTTCTTAATTGTTGAATGTTCATAAAATCACTACTAATTTCTCGTCCAAGGCCTAGACTGGCTTTAATAGATATCTCATCATTTGTTAACAAATTAGGACCTGTTATCTTGTATTCTTTGCCACCATGTCTCTGTACGGGACAAAACAAGATATGACATGATGCACGTACGACATCACTCAAATCACAACATTCGAATATCATGTCCGGATTTTCAATTAAAGGTATTTTAGAACTATCCATGATATGTCTAGCAAAGAAAAGTAAGTGTTGGTTTAATACACCGGGATAACGAAGGATTGTTATCTGTGATTTTGAAAATGATTCTCGTAAAATTGATTCAATGGTTTCAAATTGATCTCGATAAGGAGAGAGAGATTGCGTATTATTTGAGCGTTCTTCATCATCTTCATCAACGGGAGTTAATGGAGGTGAGTACGGTATATCGAGTTTTGAAAATGGTGTTAGGAACACGATGTGACCAATATTTGCTTGCTTAGCCGCATTTATATATCTATAATGAGCAATAGAGGAAGAAAGTTAAAACTAATTTGCAAATTTCTTTTTACAAACCACATGAAATGTTCTAATTTAATCGAAAGAAAACTCACCCTCTTGCGAAAGCGAGAGCATCCTTTCGTGTGATTTCACCAGATAATGGATCGACCAATAACAATAATTTTGCTGCTTGTTTTAAAGTATGTACGACAGAATCAGGTTGATTTACTGGGTCAACTTCAACGACCAAAGCTCCTCTTTCTTCTAATACAGTTGATGATTGCATTGTTTCATGATGAACTCCTGCGTAAACCGGAATTTTTGATAGATGAGGATAAAGGTTTGGCATTTCCAATAATCCTCTAACGATAGAAGCACCTTATTAACACAAAAGTAAAGGAAATATTAAAAAAATTATTTTTATGTAATTATCAAGAAAATATTTTTTTATTCAAGGATGAAAATTTACCAAGTTCTCCGTCAGCTCCAGCGACATGAATAGCAGTTTTTGGTGTCATGTTTATTATTTCAAAAAGAAAAAAAAAAAATTAAAAAAATGAAAAAGAAAAATCTTTTGTTTATTAAATTTTTACGTGTGAAAAATTTTTATATTTATAAATGGCTGAGCTGTGAAGAGGAGAAATTTTTGAGGAAAAAAAATTTTTAGATTTTTATATGGAATCAATGGAATTTATATGTGTTTACTTTAAAAAATTTTTAAAAATCGGTTAGTCATAATTTGAAATCATCCATCAGATTTCTTTGATCGTAACATGCTATGATTTAATTGGTTAATCTGCCTTTTCGCAATTTTTGCAACATTTTTATCTCATTGATTATGCACTTTTTTTTTTTTGTAAACAATTTGAAATTGGAGTATAATAAATTACTTTAACAACATCCTTTGTTGTTTAAATGAATTCCTTTTTGACTTTATCTTATCTATTACATAATTGAGATGACTGAATGTAACCGATGAATCTGGATTATATGATAAACCGCAGTTACATTCCTTTTTTAACCCAAGTATGTTATTTATGAGGAAAAAAATCTTTCTTTGGGTCACCCATTCTTTAATTCGTATTATTCGACTCTCAGTATATCAAATATATCAATGCAGATTATAATTCTTGAATTTGATCATAGTAACCATGTGGGGGGAATAAAAAAGTTGGTAATTATCTCCATGATCACATGCTCAATTGTGCTTCACCGCGTGAATTATTTCCTTATCTTGCATCACACTTCTAACCTGTTGGGGTGCATTGAAAATATGCAAATAGATAAAGATAATAGATTTTCCATGTACATTATCTGATCTTTTTGTATAATTATTCTTTACATATATATCTCATTGTTTGAATTCTTGGAAAACCCAATGTAGGGTTTAATTAACCCACCAATTTTAAAAAATCAATGTCATTATTTTTTAGCGACAACATTAATTCTCGTCTGTGGCTTTTTACGTTCTACCAATCAAATGCGAAATTAAATAATAAAGAATTAACTTTACAAGAAAAACGATGAACCCATACTTTGTTCCTTATTTATTAAGTTCTTTTCAGATTTCAGGAACATTGCGATACATGATAAAACTAGTTCTTTAAGGAAAAGCCCAATTTGAATTCATTAGCCCAACGGTTGGTGTAATAAATAGGGTATCACGAATTCATATAAAACCACGCGACATTACGACAACTTATTTATGATGATCCCAATGCGTCATAAGTTTGGCCGATCAACTTTTAAGCCACAAAAAACCAAATATTCCCTTAAAATACAACTTTAAATGAGTATTAATAAACATAATCATCATGGCGAATCATGTTCTCATTCTTCAGCACCAAATCCATACGCTCAAACATTAAATGAATTGGATTTTCAAAAATCTATTCATTACGCTTGTTTAAATAATGACGTTAGTCGAGTGAAAACTATCATTTCGAAGAAAGGTGGTTCTGTGGTAAACGAGATCGATAGCACTGGATATGCTCCATTAGTTAGTATGATTATTTCATTGTCAATTACTTTTATTCTATAGATTAAATTGAATCTTTTCTTTTTCATAAAGCATTATGCAGCAAGGAAGGGATATTTAGAAATTTGTCGTATATTAATAGATCATGGGGCCAATGTTAATGCCATCACACCTGAAATGCTTTCAACTGTAAGTTCATTTATAATTAACTTACCAAACTTCTGACTTTTAATTAATCAGTAATTTCTTTTATAGCCATTACATAGAGCATCAGCTTACAATCATTTTAAGGTTGTATCCTTATTGTTATCTTCTGGTGCAAAACACACTTTACAAGACTCGGATGGTAAAACTTGTTTACATAGAGCATTCGAGAATGGTTCAAAAGATGTAATTCTAATTCTAAAGAAGTTGAATGATTTTAAATCATTATTAAATATTAAAGATAAAAATGAAAGAATTCCTAGTGAATGTTGTAAAGATGAGGAAACTTTAATATTAGTTGATTAATTAATAATTGGATTTTTTGCATAGGAATTAAAGAAATTTCAGAATGAGGTATGATTATTATTATTAATTTTTTATAATTTCAGACATTATTTATTTAAATCTGAACCCTGAACCGATTTATTTATATAAAAGTTTTATTATCTTTGAAAATATTTAACGTCCGAATTTCAACCAACTAAAATTTCACGACACGTGAGTGAAACAATATTTGTATCTTTAATATGTACAGTACAACTACCGGCAATTTATCTCATGAGGCTGGCAGGCGAAATTTGTTAACTCTTTAATATGGAATAAATGTATTTTATATATAAAGGTTAATTATCTCAAGATTATATTTAAGAGATGATAGAAGAAAATACCAGATTTAAAGTTTGTTATTAAGTTTTAAGGCTAGAATCAAGAATTTAAACAATAATGGAAATATTTTTTCAGAAATAGGAAATAATAAATTCTTAGATTTAAAGGATAAGAAATAAAAGAAATAAATAAAAAGAAAGGAAGCACTTGTGTAATTTAGTAAATTTAAGACTATTATTTAATTTATTAGGAAATGACTTATTATAGATTTGTGTGATGATTGGAGACCTGAGTATTACTAATTAATGTAATAATAATAAAGACTACTAAAAAATATGTCGCGAGTGATGATATAGGACGCGTGTTACTAAATAAGATAGACTATTCCTTAGATTGTCTAGCAGGCAAATTTGCCTGCGAAATTAAAAAAAAATGTTAATTTCTTTATAAAATATTAAATATTAATTTTAGTAATATTATTATTTAATAAAAAATATAGTTTAATGTATATTTTATCAACTTTATTAACAAAGATTTAAGTTTTTTAAAAGGTTTTTAAAATAATTTAATTTTAAAATTAAGTTTCAAAAAATTTATTATAATAAGTTTTTAAAAATTCTTTAAAAATTTATATGTTTACGTATTAATTGAATCACTTTATCATTAATTAAAGTCATAAAATTTCTTAATAAATTATAAATTATATTAAAAGTTTTTTATTTATAAATAATTTTATAATATTCTATTATGATTAATATAGTTAAAAATAAATTCTAAAAAGTTTATTATAGATTAATCATGAAATTTTTAATATAATTTTTTTTTAGAAATTCCAAATTTAGCTTCTAAGTAAACATTAAATTTTTTATTATATAATTAAAAGATAATATTTATTTATTATAATATCTTATATATTTATTAAATTAATTTAAAAATATTAATTATTTACAAAAGTAAATCAGAGAAGAATTTATAGTAAATAAGTAGGCAAATTTGCTTGTGAAACCCTATGATTTAAGGGTAATCATGATATTGATCATATATATAATAGTATGTTTTGTTATTTTTATTATTTTTTTTTTCAGTTTTGTTTTGTGACTTTACTACATTTTGAAATCTTTTTTATTTTTTAGTTATTTTTTTCTTTTTTATATACACACCTAAGGTTGCTTGTCTAAACTCATTTTGGATTTGGCAAAACGGTAAAACCTTTAGTTTCGCTAAATTTTTACT